TTGGCACATGCATCGTCTTTAAAAAAAACTTTGAATAAAGTACGTTACTCTTCGCAAGAACTCTTCAATTACCCAAGTTAAAATAGTTTTGAAATAATTTTATAAATTAGAATGGGTAAAATAATTTTTCCAAGTTAATACAGTTTAGTGTTTTAAAAGATAAGAAAATGGCAATTTGGATGGAACAATTACCGAGATAATATTTTAAAGAATATTTTACAACCAGGAAATGCAACAAGCAATATGTGACAGAACTATCAAAGTGCTTAAGCAAAATTAGCAGTACACTATAAAACGCTTAACGCTGATATAAACCGGGGAAAATACCGCGAAAATCTTAATGTTTAAACAATTTCCCACGAACTTTAAGCTACATAAAACTTCGTTCGATCGCACTTCCGGAGAGAATTATTATTTCATGGTAAATATCGCTATACCCGCGACTGTAAATGTTCCAAGTTTCAAGGCTTCTTACACGGAACTTAATTGTTTTCGCAAAGCGATTGACACTGTGCAACTGTTTAAATTTAGAATATTCTCTAGAACAGGTGCTTCGGCGAAAACAGTTGTATACGCGCATAAATTATGCGAAACCCGTGAAACGTACTAAATGTATACAAATACTAGATAATTTTAGTGAAAGCACAGATATTCTCTGCACGTACAGGACGATTCTAGAAACCGGGACAAACAGTACTTTTCTAACCTAAGAAAACATCAAATCCCAATGTTGCACGAATAACGAATGCAATTTGATTAAAAATATAAATTATTTGTGAACCTGGGTGGCTAACATTGGAAACGACGCTACTAAGAATCGTACACGATCGTTTACTAAATTCTCGAGTTCCCTGTAACGTATACATGTATTTCGACCGAACGGACATCCGGTCCACCACCGAGTTATAATCGATATCGAAGCGAATTCACGAGGTAAAGCACCCGATTGCTGGCACTTTACCAACGATTGGCTCATATGTTTATTAACGCACGATAGAAGAATGTGTAACGCGCATCTAAACGATTCCATAACGCAATTGCACCGAGAAGAGCGTCGTGCTACGAATGCCAATCCGACCTAGAGATTCACCAACGACATCTAGCTACGTTCATTCGTTTTTGCGTGAACGGTCCACCTACAAAAGCAACGCAAATTAAAAGGTGGCGTGAAAATTCTTTTCAGTCGTATTCGACATACCAAATTAAATTTTCGACTTTAATAGATTTCTATTTTTGTGAGAAAATCTTGGTACTTATATTGTTCTGTGCGAACACTCTTCGAATCTGTTCCGATATCCTCGTATTTTAAACTTAAAGAAATTTTAATTATTCTTTAACCTCCAATAACTTGCGAGGAAATTAATGGAAAATTAAATCACGAATTGATATTTCTTATTTTAATTCTAGAATAATCATGGTTATCTTTGACTTTATTCAACAAAATTTTATTACAAATTATAATTAGGTAAGAATATATAATCATGTATCGAGTAATTAACTGGACTTGAGCAGTTGATTTGGTTCGAACGATTCTAACCTAAGTCGGCTCGGATTGTATTTACAAGCTGCTGGGGGACACCTCTACGCTCGACGGAGGTCGCACGAGCGATTGAAGTTGGTCGCGTCTCGAAATTCACGTGCACGCACGAACCTCAAATATTTACGGACAAATAGAGCAAGATAGAGATATAGTTAACGCTCGGCGAATGATGACGAAATCGTTGCAAGGCGCGCGTAAAACTTCGCCACGGATACGAAAGGCGGTGCTCGTGAAAGCGTTTACGGCTCTTAAAACGCGTCGAAAGTATGGAATAACAAAACTGCGAATTTCAACACCTGCTGTTAATGGTAAACGCGTGGAATTGCAGATTTCGATGCAGTTTAAAAACGAAACGCTTCTATCTTATTACGTTGCGCAAGATTATGGTATATTGGCACTGTTTACTTTTTGTTTTGCTACGTTAATAAGATTCGAACGTTTCATTAACACGTTCGCTGACCACGCGGTTTTTTTCGGGTTATCACGTTCTCTGTATTTCTGAACACATATAAATTCGTATGAACGCGTTAAACGAATCGTCTTGAAATAAATAATTATCTTCCATTGTCTGCACGCGTTTGCTCGAAGTCCCATTGTGTCTGAACGTACAGCAAAAATTCATATCGCTGCACTGATTCGCTATCGACAAATATCGGTTTCATTTTCTCGTTATCGCGTACGTATTGTTATTCTTTCGTTAAATCTCGCGATTACCAGATCGAACTAACTTGAACTTAACCTAATATACACCTAACCTGGCCGGACGAGTTTAGACAGCTAATAGGTTAGGTTCGACTCGCTTCGATTTGAAGTGTCGACGATATCGAGAGCGTGGGCGCGATAACGGGAAAGATCGTGTATCTAATCGAAGATCAAACGTTCGATATATCGTTTGTTTTCTGCAATTTTATACGTATCGATTTCGACGATCCACGAACATAACCTAAACACCGATAATCAAAACAAACATGTGCTTGAAAAAGTATTTAATTGTACAAATTATCTACTATTCGGGTTCAATTATGAACGTTAAGAACAAAAATAAAACGTATCGCTAACACGATGAATAGGGGCCATGATTACAGTTACGGTCGTGTACGTTGAACACAGTCTTCAATTATTATCACAGATTGTATTTTTGTCAGCTGTCAAGTCAATGAAAAAACGATACAAGCATCTGTTGTCAGGAAAGAAAATAAAAATAAACATATATATATATATATCGTTTGATAAAATAGATATTTGTACGTTTTGCGATTAAAACACCACTGATATCATTTTCTGAGTTTGCTTCGGTGGGGTCGAATAATATACGATGCTAAAATATAATTAAAGCAAACGAAATATAAATTTTTCCCCCTCCCCCCCTTCTTCAACTATTAGATTTTTTTCGTATCAAACGAAAACGTTAAATTTCTAAATTAATGCTTCTTCAAATTAACAATATAAAATTAAAAATCTGTGTGTTTGTGACCACCCTTATAACTCTTACTATTTTTTACCGATCCGGATGAAAGTTTGTAAAGTTGACTGTTATGCTCTGATAGAAAGTTTGAGATACATCTACAGCAACTTTTTATCGGTCATCGTTTCGTGTCCTTCAAAATATATTGGCATTCTACCGTCGGTCGTGCGATTTGTCACACCCAGATTGACATTTAAATATCAGATCCACACGAAACGATTAAAAAGTTTGATAGCGTTGCTTTTAACTGGTGGTTGTCCATCAGACTGTTCGGTATCGCGCGTAAATCGTATCACAACAGATTTATGATTGATCGTTATAGCCCGTAATCTATTACGAAGAAACTTCGGACACTTAAGCGTGAAATAAGAACGTGCATGAAAACAGATAAATCTTTTGTACAAAGGTGTTTGCAAACATAGACGAGGGCACTCGAAAACCTCGCCCACGCGTGAAAATTCTTCGATATTCCGTGCAATACATTTTTGGCACTTCTTTGTACGTGTAACGTCTACGAATATTTGATTTATTATATTATGGGTTTATCTAAAGTATTTATCGATTTCTAAAGCGACCATTACTACCTAATTAAAAGCTTTACCAAATCCGATAACAGAAGTGTTCTCGGACGTTTGTAAGTGTTGAAACTAGATTATTATAAAGCAATAAAATAATTCGCCTGGCACTCAATGTATTACCATTTAAATTTGTACAGTTTACATTAATTGTTGCTATATAATACTCCGAAGAAGGCTTTCAAATATAGACAAACAAACAAAAAAAAGTCTTCACGATTTGAGCAGTAAAAGTAATTTACAAGCAAAACCCTCCAGCATATCAAGGTGTACGATTTTAATTAGCAAGAGTTACGACGTTTTAAGGATCTGCCCGCCGTCGCAATAACGATTGGAAATCCACCGTGACAAATTTACGCTTCGAAGCGGGGAGGGAAAAAGGAGAGAAATGAAGAAGAAGAAGGAAATTGAATGATTGCAACCGCTATACGTTGTAAAAAAAAAAGTTTAATTACGTAGGCAGAGCGTCGTAAAAGACAGACGCGTACCAAGGGCTAAATTGTCTGATACGTCCCGTGAAATGTTGAGAGCTGATTAGCGAATTAAAAAGAATCCAACGAACGAGCACGGACGAGCCCTAGAAGCAGACAGATTACAGCTTCGTTTCGTTTCGCTCTACCTATACACGAAAGTCCCTGAAACGAGAACTGCCTACTTCCGAGTAATAAAGCCCAATGCCGTAATCATCGTGATTTAACGACACCGACCCAACTGCCGCGGAGGGTCGGTCGTGCGATCGTGCGAATCGTTTTTCCGAAGCAAGCTTTCGTGTCTTCGTCGCACGGACGGCGCAGCGGCCCGAAGACAATTTCACGATTAAAACTTGCCGCATTTCTACACCGAATAAGAGTTAATTCTTGACAAATAAAACACTGCATTACAGATGCAAAAAAGGGAGGTTAGAACGAAACATGAAATACGGATGAAGGAACGAGACTGAGAAACGTAATGAGAATTAAAATAATGTAGAGGGCGCTCTCACCCGGGATCGAAGCGTTAAATCGTAATATGTATACCGTTGTACGATTCATTCGCACCTAATACTGCTATAAGCTTCTTATATCGATTGTTGTGGACTTAAGGTGGCTAAAAATACTCATTCTTATTAATAATAATAGGTGTCTTGACAACAGTGATGTGTAAAATATATTTTAAAAACTACTCGAACGAGTACATTATTCATTGTTGAATGTTTAGTATTTAGGTGTGATATTCTCGATAGCCGTGCATCTACGGAATATTTTGGTCGATGCATTTTAAGGTTATTTCCACGCCAAATTGATCGAGAAAGTAACGGCGACGTTTATGAATTTTTCAAAAGAACGCTGTAAGGGATATGGTAAAACAGTTGTTGGATTTTATTCTATTACAAATAGGGGGTATAAATAAATTTTTTAATTCAATTTTTATTATTCATTACCGTCGATATGCAGCTCTCACTGTACCCCTGTAAAAATGAGACCGCCTGGCGGACGCCATCGGAACTAGTTACAGGATCATCTGAAATATGAAAATCGATGAAATTAATAAAACTTATCTCGACGACTGTGATCCTATTCGTGGTAATTAATTTTGAAACATTCGTATGGTGTTTTATATGCGCGAAAAAAACAGATTCCATCTCTTTGTTTAACTATATGTCAATAATCGCTAACAATAACGAATAAGGCTTTTAGCCATTGAGATAAGTTTTTATAATTTCTTCTATTTTTTTTTTTTTATTTCAAACGATTCTGCGACGAGTCATAATCGTTGCCGACAAGCAATAACTAATTTTACTAATTTTTAATATACATTTTTGATGAAAAGTCTCCCTTCACAGGTGCGTCGCCCTCCATTTTGAAAAAACACTGCTAATCTTTGTGATACGTGCACCCTATCGTTGGAATCTGTACCATTGTTAAAAGCTAAAGTTAGATTTGTTCTCAACTTCTCATAGATCCTTTAAACCTTCTGTTTTAACACATTGACTGCTATACCTAAGAATATTCTAATTGTTTATTTATTTTTACAATGCAAAACTTGATATAAAACAAAAATTCGTTTCCCTAATTTTGATTAAATTTTACACTCATGCGTACGTTCGTTATCCAAATAACCACAATCATAACATAATTTTTAATTCCTGAGGGGGATTTAAAAGAATGGATTGAAACGGCAAAAACGAAGCAATCAGTATAAGTGCTCTGTAAAGTCTAAATAAACTGTTACATTTCCAACAAAACAACGTAATGTTGTAAGAATCCTGGGAACCGTTTGGAAGAAGTTACGATGCGTATAATATGCAAATATGGTGGTGTATATGCTGCCATAGAGGGTATGTATTACTCTGTGTGTTTACGAACTTCAGTTATTGACCATAAAGCGCAACGAAGTTATCCGGCGTGGGGTACTTAGCGATTGGAACTCCCCCTTCAATGTTTCAATAAATAATGCAACAGCTTCTATTGGACGTCGTAATTTTTCTATGTATATATTCATCTACTTTCTTGCTAGTCGTAGAACATTTATCAAGAAGTCTATCCTCTGGCAATTGCATCGTAAAAACTTGTGGTTTCTTTAATGATTCCAATGCAAATATCTTTGGCGTAGTAAATAACTGAACGCTATGCTGTAATGTCTCGTTCCTTGACAAAAAATCGGTACGGCCAGTTGCCATAGAGGATCCGAGAATTTTTTCTCGAACTATTTCTACATGAATTTTAAGATTGTTTAACGGGGGAAAATAATTGATTTCTAACAACTGATCCCTGTTTGAACTTTCTTTTTCTATTCGAATTATTTTATTTACGTGTATCTAAAAAGAACGAAGTACGTTTCGTTTCCATAGCGTCTGAAATTGAGATCTATCTTTTCGTTCCATTGCAGTTAGCGACCCGTTTTTCAACATTATCTTGAGAAATCCCCTCTTCTGTGATTGATCTCAGTGATTCTGTAATCATTAACACGAGGCAAGAGCTATCTTTTCAGTCTTCTTGTCTTTTCAGTTTTATTGTTGCTTTCACATTTTTACAAATCAACATCTTCACAACGTTTGGAAGCATGCTATTATAGTTTTCAAAAGTTTAGTCTTGTTGCATTACTTTTCATTAAATACCATGACGATAACTTCGAAATCGATTTCCTCTGTCCTTTCTCTATCCAATGCCTCTATAATGAATTTTTAAAAGTGCATATACGTACTTCCTTGCCAATTGCATAACAGTAACCGAGAAACTTTCCTTTCGGTTGATCTGTATCGCTCTAACAAGCAATCTGTATCGTTTATAACCAGCTCGATACACCCGCAACGATTCACCGTCGTTTTGCATCGAATGTTATGCGGGCGTTGCGTTTATCTGCAAGTTGCACGCTCGTTCTGAATTTCGTAACTCGCGTGAGTCACAAACGGTACGCGGATAAACCGCAGCTCAGCGTTTAAAGAACCCGTAATCGACAGATTAAGATCGTATCGATTTAACGATTCCAGGCGACTCGAGTACCTTTTGACCTCTTTCGCGGGAACAGTCCAAGAGCCGCGACCTATATGCGATATTCTAGGTTAAGAGTCACTTATGGAAAATGATCGCCGTTACCTTCGATACTGTGCCGTATCGCCACCATTATCGTTGCTCGATTGTGTCGACAAACAGGTGGCGATACGGGGGAGTCGAACGAGAGTAAGGAATCGAACAGTTTCCAGAATGTCTGAAATCTGTGTTACAAAATGGCGGACGTCGCGTTACGAAGCTTCTCGACCCAAAATATTCGAATGTTCTTCTTCCATTAAATTTATATGAAATAAACAAGCTTTGTTCACGCGTGTTAGTAATATGTTTTTTTTTAAATTAATAGTAACATATGTTAGTAATATGTTCTTTTAAATTAATAGCATATACAAGATGTTCGATCAATCCTGGGAAAAATTTTTATGGGATATTCTAAAGGCCAAAATAAGACGAAAATCAAGAATACTAATTTATTGATGGAGGCTCCGTTAAAAAATTATTAACGTTTAAAGTTCCGCCCGTACTGAATTTTTTTCTAGAAAATGGGTAGGATTTCGGGGGTAGGTCTATTCAACAAAAATTATTGTAATTGACCCCCGCAACTGAAAATAATTTTTTCAGACCGATTTGAAAAATTTTAATTTCGCCAGAAAATTAAGCACCTTTTCGAATTTTTTTCTCGAAAGTGGGTAGGATTTCAAGAGTATATCTAATGACCAAAAATGATTGTAATTGATCCCCGCAACCGTAACTAATTTTTCCAGAACGATTTGAAATTTTTTAATTTCGTCGAAAAATTTGTCCACTTATAGAATTTTTTTCTCGAAAGTGAGTAGGATATCAGGGATATGTCTATTGACCAAAAATGATTGTACTTAAACCCTGTAACTAAATATAATTTTTTTAGTATGATTTAAAATTTTTTAATTTCGTCTAAAAATTTCACCTACTCGAATTTTTTTCTCGAAAGTGGATAGGATTTCAGGGGTATGTGTATTCAACAAAAATTATTGTAATTGAGCCTAGCAACCAAAAATAATTTTTTCAGAGTGATTTGAAATTTTTTAATAACTTTTTAATGAAGCCTCAGTTAAAAAACTGATATTCTTTATTTTCGTCTTATTTTGTATATAAGAAATGTTATAAAAAGTCTTTGCCAGTGAAATTACAAACTACAATCTATGTAATATCCAGTCGATTAATTACTTTAACACCTAATTTATTCTTAGGATGTTTTATCACTACACCACTGCATTATAGTGCAATTATTTACCGAAAAAATAAAAATAAAAATAGGAATAAACAATAGTAACAGAACGAATAATAAAACGTAAATATTAACAAAGAAAATTACAAAACAAACTTACGTTTGTAAATGAAATAATTTGATTAGAAGGAAATAGAAATTCTCTCAGGTTTTGTACTTAATATATGCAATACTATTCTCCTTCTGTAACGATTAAAATATTTTATATTCACGCCTATTTCGCTGCTTTGTATTCTAATTTTGTATCAATTAAATATGGCGATTCAACAGGAACGCTCGTTAATCGTGCTAACGTGCCTCGCGATCAAGACATACGTTTTAAATAATTTAGAAATTCCATTAATTTCGCGTTCGTTACACTCGAAACGCGTTGAAACTAATCTCTCTAATCGCGACGCGTAGATATTCTAAAATTGGCCCGCGTTTAAATATTCAAATGCAATTACCACTCGCGATAAAAAAAAAAAACGTTTCTGTTTTACAATTTTATCTTGGATCTTGTATCCATATAACAACCGCGAAAATAAGCGATGCCTGGGATTTAAATATGCCTAAGCGCGTAAATTCTTCGTGTACATTTCGCGTGCCACACCTTCGATAAATAATCATTAAATCTTTTCCGACACTCGATGTTCAATTTCTTGGTTTCATTTATTTTTACTAACTCCTCGGTAATTGTCTATTCGATGGAATAATACAACGAAAATCGTGCGAAACATACATTTTTCATTCGCCATTGTTCATACGAGAAATCATACGAATAATATTTAAAGCGAACAAATTACAATTCGAATACAAATTACACGCCGGTGGAGAACCACTGTCTCAAACGCTGAAAATGTCGGAAAATTCGCCGACGAATATATTATTTTGAGGTTAGATTTAAAGGCAGCGTTTTAGCTGCAGCTTGTTTCTTCGCATACTTTAATTTCTCGTATCTAATCTCTCGCAAGCAAATGAATTTTCACTCCAATAAATATTACCCCTCGACGATCCATAAAGAACTACTCGATAATTAAATCCCTATCTCTGGCAATATATTACAGTGCAGCAATTTGCGGCGGAAGAACAACCGAGAACCATTGTCCTAAACGCTCGAAACTGTGGCAAATTCTCGACAAGTACATAATATTACTTTGAGGTTAGTTTGGAAAACGGAACACCATCTACGTCTTATCTCTTTCCATGCTTTATTTCCTTGTATTTCATCGGCTGCTACAGAGTAAGTTAGTTTTTACTTTGCACGTATAGCGCCGCCATAAACACCGTGCAACAAAGAAAATAAATACATATAATTGTTTTTGCAATGCACTACAAAATTCACACCACATGTGCGAATACTTCCTCTACACTTGAATATTGTTACGTAATAACTGTTTACAATTTAGGAATATATTACATTATTCGATATGTACTTCGAGATACTTGAAACGAAGATAACCTTCAAATCTTCCTACATCCGTCCTGTCGTAAAACAATTTCTACGTGTCTTCGTTAATCTAGGGAACAATTGAACGCTAGATACACCCGTATATAAATAGCGATTGTATTATTGGCATGGGTGAAGATTATATATCGTATTATGTGCGCGATGTTAATTTTCGCAGTTAACAAGCACCACGGAATTCGAACCATGCGAATCGCCTATACAAATACGAGAACAAGGCGGTGGGGGGAACGTTTCGCGAACGACACATGTTAACGATCACGTCGAGAATCCGTACAGTCTTTTTTAATCCGTTACCACGAACGCGTGTACCATCTTCGTACAAATTTATCTTCGGTCGCGTACTCATATAACTCGCGAATCGCAGTCTAGAGTTGTTCGAATAAATTTTCATTTGGTTAAAAGATCCTCCGTATTTTACACTCTGTCACTAACAGCAACTGGAAACATAATGTTACATTTTTAGAAGCAAAATGTTTTATTAACCAATCGAGACTATTATCTTGTGCACTGGCATAGAGATAAAAGAAAAATATGTATCAGACTAAACGACCAACTTCATTCGGTTAATTTAGCAAATATTTATGTAACTCATCGTTGCACGAATAAGTCGACGATCCATTATTGGAAAATTAATAGAGTTGTCGTTGTATAATCTGTATTTTTATTAAATAAATATTGTGTTAACCTACCAATTCGTTAATAAAAAAAGTGTAACTATAATTTAACACCAAAAAAATACAAATTAATGAATTCTCTACTCTCTGGGAATTTTTACCTTTCTGTAGTGACACAAATACCAATTGACTAATGGAATAAAATTTTCATTCGGTTCATTTGTCAAATATTTATGTAACTCATCATTGCACGAATAAGTCAACAATCCATTATGGAGAAATTAATAGAGGTATCGCTGAATAGTCTAAATTTTCATTAAATAAATATTGAATCAACTGATCAATTTGTTAATTATAAAAAAATAGTAATTATTATATACGACATGATTTCAATTCCTTTGCATTAAGTCCAAAACAAATGTATATATTTTTTATTTCAGAAGTTTAAAAAAGAGAACAAAATGTTTTATTAAGCATAAAACATTAATTACACTAATGCGAACCATTTGATCTTTTTGCTTGTCTTTCTCGTAACATTTTCGCTTAACAATAAAACATATCTTGATAATATACAATTTATTTATTATTTATCATTATTCCTGGGAATAACGAATCACGAAAATGCCATTCAAATGATTCTTTATATAAGAAATAAAATTCAAGTAACTGTGGTATCGAATTAAATTATTATTCGAATAAAAATATACTCGATCACGCATAAGTCATTACTCATCGTTTCTTCTACTCCTTATTTATTGTACGAACAAGTTTTGTCCCTCTATGTCACGGATAATACGCCATATACATAGTTTCAAAATGACGCGCGCGTGAAATTCGTCTCGCGAGCAAACTGCACGCATTGGCACTAATGTTCACGTGTGAAAACATTTGGCTAGCAGTAATGATCTACGGAGTTACGCGTCAAATTATTCGGCAAATTTGTTTCGTTTATCTCCCCGATTTATCTTCCATCATGTTTATATTATATTTATGTAAATATATCTATATGTATGAATTTATGTTAAGTTTAAGAATACATTCGAGATTGAGATCAGGTTTAAAAAAAGGCATTTTTACCATTGCTTCTTATGCACTTACAATAATTAATCGTTGAACTCGTCATGATGTGAACTACAAAGCATTATACAAAATACTTGTTAATGTGCAAAAAATGGCCTTCCAACCTCGGGAAAGAGCTTAAATAAAATGTATTGAAAATTAGGATCAAAACGATAAATTATATATTCTCAAGTATTTTTCTATAAACAAGATCTTTTCGAAATCTTTCATCGTTACAAGACGGTATGTAGCCTCGTATCAATATCATCGATAATTCCTCAGAGAACGACGACGTAACAGAATTAGTGAAATCGTATTAACAGACTACCTTATAGGTTGGAAAGTAAAAATGTTCAAGTAAGTCTTGTATAAATATAAAGAGTTCTTTAGAAGATGGAGTCGTGCGAGGCTCGGCGAAACGCTGTGTCGATAGTTGGCAGTTCGATTTTACGACGCGAAAAAAAAATCATACGCGTTCCGTTTCGCGTAGATTCGGCGCGTTGATTTTATGCAGAGGCGTTCGAAGTAATCGGCAGAGCACCGGGCGGATGGACCGCCTATAACTTGCACGTTTAAGAATTTTGCTATCTGAAAATAGACTAATTGACTTATGTAATTCGGTAAACGCGGTCCCTCGGGTTTTCGTGCGTGAACGGAACCGCACGGTCTCCAACGGCTGCGAACGCAACACACCGGTCGCGCGACACAATATTACGAAAGAACCTTTGATCTTGCCGGTTACGAGGCACGCATCCGCGACAACGTGAGAGCCCTTATCGCGAGCAAGCTCGTCATTCGCGGCGAGGCCAACGATGCAGCTAACGAACTACTCGCGGCCAGCATCCGGCGCCGATCCTAAAAGACGCGTTGCTCGGTCCCGACCATCGGGAAGATCCGCTGGATTTAACCTTCGTCGAGATTACAGACGGTACACAAGGCCCGTGTTCTCGAGTGGCCGCCGATGGGAGGATCCCACTCGACGCGCCCCGACTTTTATTGCACGCCAGTAAATCATCCTGGCGAGTGTGTCCGCGAACGCATGCAGCGGAGAAAGAATTTCGTAATCCCAGACCTCGGGGATAATCGTTCGCGGCCGAAAGGCACTGCTAACCCGGAGGGAATTGGGCGCAGGGCGGAGCCTACGAGTATTCGGTAGACGTAAAAGCGCAGGCGATATCGCGTCCACCGGGGTTACCCCGGCCTTCTGATCAATATTAATACGCGATACCGACGAGAGGGCGAACGGGCGAAGACCGCGGCGGGTAACGGACACAGGATGAGAAACGGGAATGAATTATCGCGTGTTCGATCGGTCGCTCGAAACGTGCAACGCACGAAATAGATCCGCGACACGATAGGGATGGCGAACAGCGTGTAAAAAGGAAAGGCAAGGTTCACGGGAGCGGGAGAGAGTACACGCTATCGATAAATTGTGTATTTACCGCCAATCTAGGAACGTCCACAGTCTCGTCGGTGCAGCCCACCTCGACGGTCGAAATGCCACAGCGGAGACCCTCGTTTCTTGCCCTATCGCGCAGCATGCAACAACTTTCTGCTCTCGTGGGCCGGTCCACGGCACGTCATCGGCGAAATTGTTCGCAGGAAATCACCGCGGCTACTGTCAGCGAGTCGGAAGGGCGCGGAGATCAGGGTTGAGACACTGTTCACACACGTACATACACTTTTCTCGTCGATCTTCGCTTTCAGCGAATCTGTCCGTGCACGAAGCCACGGGCTTATTTCTTGGCACTGTCGTCGCTGTCACGTATATCCACTCGTGTAATGGTTCGGTCGAGTCTCAAGCATTTGCGCGTGTGGTTTCGGTCACCACGGCAGTCCGACCTCGTAAGTGCAACTACGATACGTCCGCGTATTGCATTCTTTCAAGAACAACTGTGCGATCGCGATTTTCGGGTCCCTAACATTTACGGTGGTGCCCCCCTATGGCGAGCGCGGTCGAAGTGCATACAGTAGACAGAGTGTCCTCCGCGACTACGATCGCGCTTTCATGAAGCGACGAAACTTTTGCAACGTTTCTCGAATCCACCGCCAGGGGGCCACGAACAGTCGCGTTTGCTCGAAAGGCACTCGTTCAACGATGAACTATCTTTTAAAATAAAATATTTTATTTAGAAAAATTCTTCGAAGTAGTATTTTATCCGAAGCTTACTGAAATTATTTGTCATAGTGCAAAATATATTTATTTTTCGCCTGAAGCTTCAAATGAAATGCTCTTCCCTTTAAATTGTTAAAATAAAATATTTTTTCGATGTATATATTACGAATTTCAGAAATAAAAATATTTTACAAAAAATCTACTATGCGATAATTAAGCAAATGCTTAATAAGTGGAAAGGTCTTTATTCTAATGTAAACACATGGTTCCTTTATAGAAAGCACAATGCCTATAATTTACTAAAATATTTAAATGACAACAATGAATAGGACATCTTTTATTTAAACTTCGCTACTTGTAAAATCGCGGAAGCATTTAAGCGACAAAAGAAAAAATTAAAAATGTAAAAAGAGTACATGTGACAATATTTTCTTGTTGATTTGTTCACAGATTTTCACATCATGTTATCCATTATTCACACGTCGCTACAGTGCAATCATTGTGCATTTTGGCTCTAACATATTTTTATTTCACTTCTTCATACACCTATTACAAAAAAAAAAAGGAAAAAGAAAAGCAACAACATTCGTTCGAAAACTTCGTGCGTATATAAATATTCAACATACTCGGTAGTCACAGGACTGAGAACGAAAGAAAAATATATTTCGCGGCGATCCGTAAATAATGATCGTAGATACATATATTAATCGCGTGTGGATCGCATTAAATGAACGCGTGATTTTTAACGGCGTCTGTTAAACGGCACAGAGTAAGAAAAATATGCATAGAAAAATATGATCGGCTACGTAATAAATCGCACAATTAAAGGCGTGAGCACAACGTTACGTGTATCTTGTCGATATAGCTGTTTCTTTCTCATCGTGGAGAGTAATTGAGAGGGACGTCGGATATAATGGTTATTAGTAATTATTCGCTTACAAATGATATGCTTAGTGAATTGTGTTTCGTTTCCAGTACGTTTCACGATTACGCGTGTACAATCGGTAGAAGCGACATAGTGAACTTCTCGAGCATACTCGTGTGCAGAGATGAGCTAAATTCTAACCTTCATATACATATGTATATTTCGAATAACGAATAAAATGTAAATAGCCAATCCCTTACTTGCGAGATAAAAATGAAAATTACAATCGTATTTCGTACCACGAAGTATTTCACAATGATAAGATAAAAAGTTAATATTAACTGTTCGATCGAATAAAACATCACGAATAAATTTCTATGCGTTACTTGGTCTTATTCTATTACTCGAATAAAATTTTGCTCATCTCTGGTTACGTGTTATGATAATTTGTCAGCTTTCTTTTGGCTACTGAACACAATTGTCCATGCCGTTGTTTGCCTTTTACATTTTATATTTTACTTAATTTATGACCTCACAATATCTCGTTTACCGATTATATTTGTTTTGTGGTAGTAGTGTTCTACATGTGTATAGTTGGTGGAAGAGATATAATGTATTCGTAAATTAAGTAAACGAGAAGAGACATGATAAATGCAGGGAGACGAGGGCCCAGAGATGGGGATATAATCTTAAGCGACAAATTTCGTTAAATATCGGTGTTTTATATGTCTTCTACCGACTATACGGATTCCTATAGATGAGACACACATAATATAAATGTCTTTCGATATCTCTTTGTCGCTATCTCAGTTAGGGTCGGAGATATACAGTACATTTCGATTCGCAGGTGTAATTCTTTGAATGTGAATAAGATTGGAATTAATCCCCTAAATAATGTACCGTAATATTTTCAATAAAGAAACTTACGTTTATTTTTTAGAAAGGTTAGGAAGTGTCTTCGTTCACTTTTATTATCCTATTTCACAATTAATGGTACTACATGTTAAAAATATAATACTTAAGAAGAATTATTGTTACGTTTATAAAAACTCAAGTATATTGCAATAAGATAAATATTTAAGTAGAATTAATAATGAATGTTGCTTCACGTACTGCTTATTTAAGGGATGAATCCAAAGATGTATCATGAATAATAGTTCGAAATTAATAAATTAACTATCAAAATTCATAGTAAGAATTTATGTTCATGTAATGGAAATTATTAGAATTATTCGATCTCCTGGCGATAACATTTAAATCGCCGAGTAATTCTTATAATTTCCAATCGAAATGTGTAACGTAATAGATTTAATTAATCCGTTAATTGTTTCATAAGAAATACATCATATACAACATTCGCAGAGGATTTTCAAGCATAGTGTTACGAGAGTTATGCAATTTGTTGTTTGTGTGAAGCAGCAACATATACATATACAATCGATGGATTGCAAATAACCTAATTTTATACAAATATTTAAAAAACATGAATTTTAAAAATTCGTATTCTCTTGTTGCTGGAGAAACGAATGAATTTTTTAATTTTTAATATTGTGATAGAACAAAATTAATTTGAATATCGTTCATTCTTTAAAAATGAAAACATTCTATTGTTATCTCTTTCTTATTAAACAATGTTCAATTCCAGTAACGTTTTTAATAAATAGTTACTCGAAAAATAGGTACATTTGATGTGTGATTATTTAAACAATACCGATTAGCTGATTAAAAAAATCATTTTCCCGCCACTTATCATCCAATTCACATTTCCATTCTACGATCAACGAATTCTAAATTGAATATCAAAAATTATGTTCGTTTGATAAATCATTAATCATTTCAAAAATAGATCGATGTAGATTTCAAAAATTTCCGTTAGTTATAACCTTTCAAACGAATGATCATTTGTGGATTTTGTTATGCGTATAATTATTATACAGTAGAATGATAGCCTATCTATGCATCACATTCAGTATCGTTAATAAATTTTATTTCGGCGTGCAATTGTACGCTATTGTTCTTTTACGCGAATCTCTATCTTTTTACCCGATAAAACCACTTAATTACCGGTATCGTATGCTGCTGAACAAACAAACAAATTACATCATCGTTAAAAACAATCGAATTTAAATAGACATCGTTTCGAAACCGACTGTTACGTTCGAAACCCCCTTCTTGATTAATTTGTTCAGTTTACTGGTTCCCAAACAGTAATACCGTGCTTCGTGGATATGTCGCTTTTATTGTGATGATTTATTAACGCTCTGGTGGAAAAAGACTATCGTCTAGTACCGAACAGAGCATCGACAATCACCGCCAGTTTAGGTTATCCGTACTTTCTAATACTTACCACCATATCTATTTAATGTTAAGTTACACATATATTTTGTTTCGATAAGAGATCAGTAACACATTAATAGTAATTATTACTTGTTTGATGCTTATCGATATTCGCTAAGAATATTACTTATTGTTTCCTTGTTACAACGATGAATTCAGACCATCGTTAAGTTCAAGTTCGGCGAGAGTTATTTGACGTACAATTCTGCATAGATTTCAAACGCGCAATCGTCAATTTCTGTTTCGATTCGTGGCCACGCGACGAAACTGTTGCTTTTGATTTGAGCCTATTCGGTTTGGAACGTTTCTCTTTTCCTTCGAAAATATACAATAAGAGATCGATGAAATCGTTCGATCGCTAAATTCGTATATATATGCATGTATATATATATATATGTACATCGTATTGTTAAAAGTGCAAATACCCCTCGCCATGGAAGTACTGATATATGCGGTAATGAAATAGCGTCGTGACGTTTCGCGACATCAGAATCCTTGCGGTCGTAAGAGTAAGTTTAACAGCGATTGCTTTAGAGTCCATTTTCGTTTACAGACTGTTTCCTCGAAAAGCTATGTTTGTTAGTATCTACGTTCAGCAGACGATCGAAAAAACACAGTTTTACATTTGTGCCTATGCTAGGGTATGCTTGGCTAATCAGAGTTGAAAGGATGCAGTCGCGAAGATCAATCTATCAATTTAAAGTAAATTAGATAATTGATAATAAGATAAATTTGATAGTAAGATCAAGCTATTAATCGCAGGGAAATTAGATTCATTGCAGGTCACATTGAAAAAGTGAAATCTCGGTGAATTTTGTCATTTTGATATTATGCCTCGTAATTGTTGAAGACGTAGCTATTTTTAGCGCATTAACACTTTAACTGTCGCGTGTGTTTTATCAACACGCAGTGGGCGGGTCTTTTTACGTCGTCTGTTTCACGCAATCGCACGGTTAACATTTATGCATAAAAAAATATTTTTGTTTTTGTCGGTATATTAAGTCCAAAAAGTGGTCAGAAGAGGATATTTTAATATAAAACTATTCTTTTGCCTTAGGGGAGACATACACGATTTACACGCAACAGTTGAAGTGTTTGCATAAATTTTTGCAAAAATGCATGTTCGTTTCTTTCGAAAATATTACTGGGAATCTCGTATTACCTGTTGCCCAGACGATTACAAAATCTTAATTACTAATCCTAAATTTGATTTGCTCATTGCCTGCAGATTTGTAAAGCAATTTATAATTCTATCGCATATGAGTATGAAACTGATGTCTGTTTTGGTTAGAACGAAACGATAGATTTAACAAAAAAGGTTAAGTTTCAAAATACAAAAAGTAGAGGACATTTTGAATGCTTCTAATATAGCCACAACTAGGTACATAGAGAAATACCTCAAAAGTATCTTATTATCAATCTAATTATTAAAATCAATTCACTTTCTTCACAGTTTGTTCGCCTAGCGCGAAATAACTTAGCGTTTTTATCTAGTAGACTGACCGAGTCTAAGATTTTCGTTGCATATTCTCTGTTTTATCTCACTCATGTTTTGTTAGTGTTAGCGTAACCTTAAAACTGAATGCTTACACGTTTACTTGTAATATACACGAAAATGTTGTCAACAATATGTTGAGAAAGAATCGATAGAAAATAAATGCAACGTCGATCGATACAATTGCGTTACATTTAAATAGACTTTCAAGGGAACCGTGTTAAAAGGAACTATTAACAGAATTCTTTAAAAAACAGCAATACAATTAATGTACGAATACATTCGTGTCAGGAATCATGTAGGATGTTGATGGTGCGATACGAACGAAAAACTGCAATTGAACTCCAGAAAAAAAATGACAATGATTGTATTAAAGAAAAAGTACAGAAAAAATAAAATCGAACGTAATAAAGTTGCCGTGAAATTATGTGAGAAGTAAAAATATGCGAATACCTTGAAACGAAAGAAATCGAAAATACTTTTGTCACTTTGCAAATCTGAGTTTTTGCTTTTCAAGATACAAACAATTAATGGTTTGGTGATCAACTTCTACCGTATTAATATCAAGTGTTTATGCACGTTTATCTGCCATGTACCGTTAACAGTAAACATTCCAAGAAATCTCTGACCAATCGATGCATTTTTGCGTTCGAAGTTCAATTACCAAAAATGACCCACATCTTGAGAACAAAGCATCAGATGATAAAACGACAAACAGACTTTTCGATTTCCTTTGTTACGTTTTAGTTTATCCGTTTGTTGCATGATTTTTGGAGTCTCTGTACAACGGATTGTTGTCTATTATGCGAGAACGTAACATGGCATCACAATAATTTGAATAAACTTAAAGATGTATGAGCTTAACACGTCATGCGTAAAGTTAATACAGAGATAATACTGTATATATACAATTACGAATAATAGAAGACACTCGCGTACATACAAGAAATTATGAGTACAATCAAACTATTTACAACGTTAATAAAGTTCCTCTTAGCCTTAGATTAGACGAATCATTTATATGTATCAACTATTTGAACAGAAATGTGTTCGATCACGCACACCAGTACACGCTCGCACGCACGGATTCACGTCGAAATAAATCCAAAGTGTATTCGTCGCATTTATACCCTTTCGTGTGTCATCGGCGCAGCAATATGCTTTGTTAAAAAATTTGTAGCTAAGATTGATTCTTTTTTTCCTTTGTATTTTTTTTCTTCCACTGTTTACGGTTTGAGATTAACGGGAGTGCATCTATCCACAGAACAGTTTCAACGTCTGGTTGGCTCCTGTGATTTCGTCATCGAAAGCTACGTTTACGTATGTATATTTGGTGCATGTCACGAAATTGACGACTGTTTATCAGATTTATATATAATAGCAAACTTCTAACTACATTTCAAGACTAATAACGGCTTTTGTTTGCCTTTGTTCACGGTGTCTAAGTATTTGTAAGATTTAATTAACTGTGTATGCTTATAGACCGACACCAACTATTAACTGCTTAGGCCTTTTCAACGTGAATAATAAATGCGCACGACTGTTACAATCGCACGTAGAACGCGTTAACATGCAGATGACAGATTTTAAAATCTCTTAAGCATATATCATAGCTTTGCCGCCGAGTATTGTATACAAGACATTTAGTACTAAAACGAGAGACCGGAGAAACGTTAATAAGCAAATATTCATTCAGATTAAATTTTTGTTTGTAAGGGGGAAAAATCAACTTAACATTCCTATATTCGTTTCAAGCAATCTTTTCATTTACTTAACTTTTTTTATGCATCAAAATGTTTTCGACCAATTATTCCGGTCCTCTTCATTGATACAATAACCTACAATTATTAGGAACGAGATCGAATCAAAAGAAAGTTAATTTGTCTGCTTTTTAATTGGTCCACTTATGTTGATTAATAATAGCACGTGTTTTATCCGTTTGGGGGAAAAAGGAATTAAATATCTTAGGAATAACCTACAAAATTTTACGTTACGTATTATAATCAAACAACTGAATGTATTTAAATTTTGCATAATTGGTCAGTTTGTGATATATTATTACATCACTGACGAGGACTAGATAATATTTTGACGAATAACGAAGTGAAATAAGTAAATTGCTTGAAACGACTAGAGAAATGTTAAGTATAGATATTCATTCATCCTATAATACGAGTCACACGGACAGCCATATTCTTACAGGCGGTCTCAATTCTCTTAAAACTTGATGCACTCTATTATGTTTCGGTATATTTAACGAAGAGTAACGAATGGGGCAAGTGTGTTTTCCGTTTCTTAAAAAAATTAATCTGATCGGATTCTTTCACTCTATCGGAATGTGTCGTGAAAGAAAGCATAATTCTCGCTTTCATCGTTGAAAATTATAAACGTACGTTAAACTCCGGTTGCAAAAGACATCGAAGGTATTTAAAATCACGATAAAATACAAGGTGATGTTATGGGTTATCAATTCAATTCTTCCGTTACGATCGTGGTTTCACACTTAATTTACCTATACCTCTAGGTAACCATTCGACTTAAAGCTGAAAGCTTGGATACCTATTAACAAGATCCCAACAAAAAGTGTTCTCTATAATCATATACAATAGTATATGTAACAGTTACGCTCAGTCGTGCCATGCGTTCAGAAAAGCGCATCGCCGAGGCGCTGATCTGAAACTACAATGGCTCTACATTAATTAACGTAATTGGTGTTTCTTCCTTGCGCAGTCAACAGTACACTGTTGACGTTTGAAAAGTTTTTCTATCTACGATAAAGCTATATAATGGACGTTTATATATATATATATAATATATATCTAAATAAGTTAAAAAAAAGAAGAACCCCTACTACTTTTTACATTTCGCTGATTAAAGGCAAATAAATAAATAGTTTTCATATAGACATACATATAGAATAGTTAAAATGAGGGAACTTTTCCCTTCATGCTACGTTAAGCATCATTACAGCTGCATCCTTTAAGTATATGTTGCATAGGTCCATAGCAAATACGATTTCTGCATACTGTCTTATGGCAAAAAGGATAAAACACTACAAAAATGCATTGAGACATCATTGAGCTAGCTAATTCATTTAAAGTCTCCCTAACGTGTTTCAACTTTCGACGTTTCGATTCAATCGATACCCGTTCATACACTTACAATTAAATAAAACGAATACATCGAATTCCAATTTAATCTAAACGCGTGATCTCTGTTTTTCGTATCCTTCTTTCAATATGGATTTGTATATTAAAATTTCCATAAAGTAAAACACAACCTCACAGAGGCTGTTGAACCGGGATAGATCTCGCCTAACCCTCTCACCGCCCTCGTAGTGTTGTATGAGGTTTCGTTTGATTTGCAATGAAGCATTTATCTAAATATCATAAATATAAACATTCTAATTCACTGACTCAGCCTTTCGATTTCGAGACACAGGCAGTGAAAGGGTTAGATATATTCTAGTTCTGCGACTGTACTTTTTTACCACCGCGCGGTTTGATGCTCTCTGAAATTTGCCACATTGCCTCCTCACAGAGGAAATCACTGAAATTGTTGAAGAACGTTATTATACGTTCGTGTTTTTTGAACGAGTACGTCCTGCAACAAAGAACGCACACATGATAAAAACAGCCTCGAGATATATCTCGAATAGTTAGGTTAGGTGCACATAGAAGCCTAGGTATGAGATATGAGAGCACGTAATTTTTTCTCTACCAAAATGAAAATAATATTTAAAAAAAATACGATGAGGCAACTAGTTGATATCGAACATACAGATATTTTTATTAGTGCATAAAATATTCAAATAGTTTTAAATTCTAATTGTAAGACTATTGAAATTTGGTGTGACGTATTATAACATTAAATAAATATTGAAAATAGCCTTACCCTTTCTTGAACCGCTTCATATTTTCAACGATATTAAACTGTTGCCATCTCTTCGAAAAGTTTATAGTGCCATCCGGTAATAGATCACTGTTTCCAATATGCACGAACGTAAGATCTTGTAATACAAGTCCGCTGCACATAGAGAAACAAAATGGTTGGAACAAAAATCTTCGTAGAGCTTCGTTTTTAATTTATAATAATAAAATAACAATGATTCTCACATATATGGAATACACGGCGGTTGCGTTTCGGCCAGAGCTTGCCTGTAAGCTCTAAAACTGCTAGAACTATCGATAAGAGCACAATATTCCTTCAAGCCTTCTGTAATATGTTTTTGCCACTCGAGCCTCCTAATAGGCGCGCTATCCAACGCGGAAAGCAAGGCTAAATAGCTATTAAAATTATTTATTTTTCTAAGGTGCTTCATTATTTTAATAAATTTCACCACGTATTTCTCTCTGTCTTTCGCTTCGTTTTCTAATCTATGCTCCAATATCCTCGATCTGGCCCAGTACGACATCTTGTTGAAGTGTTCCGTGAACCTGGTCAGATTCGGGCTTCGTTCCTCGTTCTGTTCCTGGGCCCAAATTAACACTTCCGGTATCTCGATTTTCATGAACAGATCCGCGTCCAACAAAGTCATTTGCTCTGCTATTTGTTCGCTCTTAAAATCGAGAAGGGAAGCTTGTTTCGTTGTTACACTTAAGGAGGAAAGAATTGGTTGCGTAGACTGTAACTGTTTCGCTTGGTGTTTCTCCAAAATTTTAACGCGCAATGCCTTTGCCATAGTAAGATCGCCGCTACATACCAACTGTTGCACGAATTCCATCAACGTTTGTAGGAGGGTATCATCGAGATCGGACATACTAAAAGAAGTCAATATATTCTACTCGTTAAGGATAATTTCGAGCGTAAAACAATTTCGATAAGCGATTGTTCGTCGAAAAAAATGTAGAAATATTGTTAGTTCATACAAGCGTCTGTCTTTATTACATCCATGCTTGAATAGACTAACGATAAGTCTTATTTTTTTTTCAATCAATATAAATGTCTCTTGTGGACTCACGTTAAATCGCTAACAACTCTAACTAATAAGGAAAACGCTTCGCGGGCTGCCCTTTGTTTAACGACGTCAGCGGAACAAGAGAATCGTTGATGACGTCTGTGTAACTTTTGAATTAATTCAAGTGGTTGCATGAAAGTCCTATACGTTGTCAAGAACGCTTCCTGATACAGAAAGTCTGCAAAGAGATCGAACATGTAAAAATATTAATTAATTAAACATCGACCGTAAGTTGAGATTTTCTATAGAAATTATAACGGTAAATACGATGAAATTATTTGCCCGAGCACTTCACGAAGATGAACTTAATTACTCGTAATTGATAACAGTGTACAGTAGAAAATTATTGCAGTGATAGAAATGAAATTTTTAAACATACACTGGATAAACGAAAATTCGATAAATTATTACACTGACCTGACTCTTTTTCATCTATGACGCATGAAAAAAAAATGTAATCAATTATATTCTTTAACAAAAATTCGCAATTAAAATGATAGGATCGATCATTACCGTGTTTGTTAGCTTTGGTTGCATGGACCAATAACGCATCCGGATGCCCTCCCCGTATATCCGGCCCTTCTTCGTCAGGCTTTTTAAAGACTAAATGTTTGCTAATGTCCAGTTCGTCCAAAATGCTATCATCTTGATCAACGTCTCTCAATTCGAGAGTATTTTCGTCGACTGATATCGACGACAGAGCGTTGCTCGCTGGTCTCGAAGACGGTAATATCGTATCTAAGGTAACGTTGTTCTGAAAACAAAATATATTTGATTAATTTATAAAATTATTAAACAGATTTATAAAATTATGATATTTACCAATTTCACTGGAGTCGAAGGTGTGAGATCCTTCTTGTCGTGAATACAGACAGATTCTTCTGTTTTCACCGGAGTTGATGTCACAATTGGATCTATCGTATGTATACTTTGCATGCTGATGGTTGGTTTTGGTGAAATTGGCGGCGGTGTTGCGTTCGATTTGATGGAACGAGATCTCTTTGGTGGCAATACTGGAGGGAGACTAGAATTATTTATTACTTCAGCTGTTGGTGGTGTCATAGTTATGGAGGTACTAGAAGAAAAATAAAGAGATATTTTTTAATGACACGCAAGACGGGTGCCGCGGCACGCGTGTGCGTTCATGTTAAAATCACATACTTTGAGCTATCGTGCAACGTAGTCATAGCATGTGCCATGAATGAACATGACTGTGTTGTGGTAAGGGCCATCTCGTGTTGTTGCCATTCTGCTTGCATTGAATTATAAGCTGCCACTGAATGGCGCGTCCCAAGACCAGAGATGAAGTCATTGTTACTATGGGAACAGTTCCCAAACATCTCCATGTATGCCATGACTGAAATAGATAGAATCAGGTTCACATAACTTTAATAACATATCAGAGACTTACAGCGAGATAACGTAAAAACTAAATAAAAACATGTGACTTTATGATGTATAATACGTATTATAGATACAAGCATGATTCATGTTACGATAAAGTATTTTAAAGCATAGGTGAATAAAATACATAAAAACACTGATGCACAAGCATATACCTTGATATATTATTAGATAGATTCGCGCGTAGAAAATTCATGTAAACTTACTGGAATAAGAATGAAACCGTTTGAACAACATCTTTGCAATGATCGTGAAATTGTGATTTCCGGAACAGGCTGTTATGGTGTTAGAACAAATGTCACAGTAATACAAGCACGAAACGATATCAGATAATTTTTAGAGAATTTTACATAGCAGAAGAGTTCTCTTCCGTCGATTCCTCACGCATAATCGTGAAAACGAAAACTAAACGCTCTGGCGCTGTTCCAGAGTTAAAGAAGCGTAAGTGTTAACTGACTATTAGCAAGGAAAGGTCAATTTAATTAGTGAAACAATGTCGACGCCCACATAAGTAGTTGAGGATTAGTTTCTACTGTTAATGAACATTAGAACCAGCTGACGAAAATAATACGAAGTATCAATAAACGTGTGTTAAATACGATTAAATGTATTTGAATATTAAGTAATAGGAAAGAATTTTGACAATTTTATTAAAACTGAATATTCCTGTTTCGAACGTTACCGTTGAGTAACATCAAACTGTAAGCCATCGAAAAGCTGACGATATGAATAAATTATCCAAGCTTTAGTGTCAAACGAAATATTACGTTTAAAATCATTTCGACAAAATGAGACCAAAAGGAAGATAAACATGCCGCAAAAAGCTAGGAGCTGAAAAATCGTGTATTAATGCGTGAAACGAAGGATTTCAACTTAGCGTGAAAGTGTTTGCTGTGGGATAGCTGATTTGTGTGGGCAGGATCCCACTTACCAGAATATGCCACTGATTGGAACACTGGGGGATACAAAATATTTCATCAGTTTTAACCTACTGCCAGGAACAAACTTCGGAACGTCTACTCTAATTATAATCTAGGCAATCTCTAGAACAATTGTATCCACTAAACTCTCTCTTCGTCTCGACTCCGATTTTATTTTATTTTTAAAAATATTCCATCGTTACTTTTAAGAACGAATACAACGAACGATGATGCGACAGTAATAAAGCAGCTACGGTGCGATATATTTAAAATTGGTTACTTGCTTTATTACTGTCTTCGTCGGGAATTAACGCTTCAACTTACTGTGTCTTTTTTTAGGAGGAAGTGGAGGAGGTTTACTGGCGTCCGGGCTATCGCCATTGCTGGTGTGTAAACTACAGGTTGATAAATGCTCGTTCTCAGGTACATTGTCGTACTGCGATGGCTGACGTTCTTTTCTTCGCTTCGAACGTTTTTCGGGCAACGCTGGTGGCATGCCGTTTGCGTCAGATGCAGAAATTGAGTCAATTTCCTACGCAGAGTAGAGACTGATGTGTGACAAATGTATAGACGTAGAATAAATTATTTACAACTTCTACAAATAACTATAGAACACAACGATACAAAGCAAAGGAAATACATTGGCATTCCGATCATTCGCAAAATAACGTGTGCAAATGATACGAGCTGTTGCAATATTTACTACATCTCAGAGCTAAGAAAACTGTTGACAACTTAAAAAGCATCTGTTTACATAAAAAGTACGCGTGTTTATCAACAACTCTTTCTTAGATCCGAGTTACACTTTTTGAAGAACTGAACTTAAGAGAAAGCAAAAACACGGACACGTAACACCCACGTTTACCAGTTTTTCTAACAGCGCGGGATCTCCACTTCCAGACATATTTGTTGTGCTAATAGTACTCTTGGAACTAGTCATTGTCTTCTGGGTGAATATAGACCCGTTGCTATCCGAGGACAACTTGGCCTGAGAGAACGATTGTTGCTGCGAATTGAACGTCTGGGAATTGTAACTAACGCTGCTCTGCTGAGACGATCTTTTTGATGTCACACTGGAGGCGGTGTAACTTTGGGATGAACTTCGTTGTGAATGCATGGATACAAAACCGGACTCCTGCGTCTGGGTCGACAACCGTTCCATTTTTCCCTCTATACCTAAAACACAATCACCGTACAACGTTAGAGCGCTCTGCTAACAACGTTGCATTGGAAACTGGTACATTTTCAAGCCAGAAACGCAAACGAAAGATGGTTTCTCCTTACGAAAAAGACTTTTCACGTTTGTCCAATTCCAATTGGCGGACATGATGAATTTTCTATCCTTACGAGACTGTAATTTCGAAGACGTCTTTAGAAAAAGTGCTCTAGCTTATTACACCGTCCTGAGTGAACATCTATACTGTTTATTCACGCAGTCGGAAGGTCTGACGCCTACGCTACTTGCTCCACTAGCTATTTGAGGAATTCTTGCGTAATTTTAGCTCTTACATTTTTTCTTTACATTTATAAATGTGAATACGCGTCACGCTCGCCCGTTACCTTGCTTTGGTATTTAATGACGATTAATGTGAAATCTTATATTACCCACCGGTAAATGGACTAAGCATTTCTTGGGGAGTTTGTTGACCCAACAACATAGTGCTCGGTATACTTGTTTCAGAACCGTCCCAGCAACTACAGTTTGAAGCACCATTAACTTGCATGCCTGTAAAAATTAAACGCAGATTTGTCTGATGGTCTATCGACTATGTTCAACGTAAAAATATAAAATAACAAAAAATTTCAATTATATTACACCACATTATTTTCGATTCCTCGCGCACAATTATTTTACCAAACGTTAACTCCGAGTCTTTGTAACTGATACAGTGTCTGTGCCCCCGAGACTTTTCCAGCAAGACTGGATTGATGATTAAGGCGAGCACGGTTCAGAATTATTTTGCTGACTAAGCAATCTCTGCACAGTGTTCCTCTGGACACACATGGAAATGTACTTGCACAATTCTTCGATGGCCTTCTTAGGAAGGTTTCGTTCTCGATATTATACATTGCTCTATGATATTTTTAAAACAATATTTTAAGGCAATATTTTCAATCCTTTGGGTGTTAGTAAATTATGTTTATGAAGGAGAAAGCAGATTCTGAGAATGAAATTTTATGCAATGAATTTCAAGGTATAAACTTACGTGTTAATGTATGTTTATTAACAAGTGCATGTTATTTATGAGGGTCAAATTTACTTCATCGTGTTACTTAATAAATACTTTATCTTACCAGCTGCAGCTTACCCTTAATTTATAACGTTGCTGTTGAGTGTACAATCAATATATAATTTAATATAAATGTTAGTGTTAAGAAAAGCAATCTGTGTTTTAAATATTTGAGGTATAAGAGGTTCAAATCATTTTTGAATTATTTAATGGAGGTTTCTATAAAGAGATAGTCATTTAGATATGAAAGGAGAGAATCTTCAGCCACCACTGTCTTAGAACAGTCTATTAACACTTTAAACGTTCGCAATTCTGAAGCTACTAATGTTTTATTAATAATTGAGCCACTGTTAGAAGCATTGAAGCTTCCCCTTTAAAATGGCTTTTGGTTTTTGTCGATCGGACTTTTCGTTTTCGAGATATCGTAATTTATGTGAAGGGGTAATTTTTTTAATTCGACTATCTCTGTCTCAGTCTTACGGGTCGGATCTCTCTTTCTCGCACGCGAGGTGAATGACCCCGCGACGTAAACAATGGAAAGTAAATAAATGCTTCGAACTTCTGTATCTCCGGAACTAATTACACTATCAACTTGAATGAACACTCATTTTAAAGGGCTTTTCATCCTCTATCTAATGACTATAACAACTACTATAATTTATGCTACCTTCTTTGTTTATTTTGATATTTACTTTGACGTTATATGTATACCTAATGAAGTTTCAGCAATTCCTATCGATTATACGGACGGCGTGCAACGAAGCTGGATTAATATTAAAACATTTTGATCCGCGAGCGCAAGTTTTCCCGTGGAACTGATGGACGGAATCACTCACCCTGAATGGTAGCCATCAGGCTGAGATCCATACTGTCGTTCAGAGACTCGTCGTTTGGTCCCATGATCGCTCGTATTTCATCCTCGTCGCGAGAATGATTCAGAGCCGAATCCAAACTGCCAGCCGACGCGCTTAAAAGAGACGACGAATCCTCTGGAGATCGACTTCGAAGGGAGACCCTATCAAGACTAGATGCTAAGAGACCCTCGGACTCGTCTAGCAGCTGCTGAGCCCGCGTTCTCCGTTTTGGGGGCAAAGGTGGCGGTGTCCCGGACGAACTATTCTCCTCCGACAGACACACGTTGGTTCTGAAATATCGTTGGCAACGGTTTTTATCTGCTTCCCCGACAAACTACGGAGCCTAACGATACATGCTCGTCGCTACAAGAAGCTTAGGGAACTACCTCTCGGGGAGTGGTGGTTTTGGGGGTGGACTAGAATCCCTTAAAATCGACTCTGAACTATGCGAACTACGGACCAGACTAGTAGTCGCAGCGGTTTGCTCTAAAATCTGCCTTTCCCTCGGGGTTAGCGGAATATCGGGCAAGGAATTTCTTTGTGGCGTCAATTCCGACCCATAACCCGACGTTCTGAAACGATTTCACTGATTTATTGTCATGTTCTATTGGTACGACGACACAGAACAAAAATGGCGGTCGTTCCTTTAACCCAATAAGTACCAACGGACGCACGGTTCAACTCGATTAATCAGAATCGATCGAGGGACTCGATGGTTGAAATTTTATTAATTAATTATATTTCTAGCCTGGAATATTCAAAACTAACGATAAAATGTTTCCTATCGAAGGAATTGCAGTTGCTTAAATTTTAAAACAGATTGATTTTCGATAAAAAATTAATTACATTTCTAGCATGGAATATTTTCAAACAAGTTCCACCTTACGTTATTATGATCCTTCGTTTAAGTATACAGTGAGGCACGAACTAGACAAAACTAACAATAAAATGTTTCCTATCGAAGAAATTGCAGTTGCTTAAATTTAAAAACAGATTGATTTTCGATAAAAAAAATGAAGGTCACTTATATTTTTGAATGGAACTAGGTATTTTTAATTTCATCGTCTCAACAATGAGATTTGTTACTAACAGGCACGTCTAAGGCAGGATCTGCTACAGTAGCTATACTAAGGAGTCCAACTAGCAGACTCAGGATGAAATTCAATAATGTTTGCTTTTAGCACGAAACAAGGGACGCCTCTTTATACAGGTCAGTAGGATTCTTAACACGTTAATTGCCACATCCATATTTTATGTCTAAAAATGTCCTCGACATTTGTTCAAATTTTAGTGTGAAGAACAGAAATATCGTCAATGGGGTAGTTGTTATTTAATAACGCTTCTAATGCAACTAATGTTATTTTAAAATTCATATTAAGGTTCGCTCGTTTCAAGCGTTTGAAAGCACCCATAGCAGTCAACGTGTTAAATAGTGAAATATTTTTTTTTAATTTTGCAATTATTTTCTCCGTTTAGTAAAATATTTTAAAGAAAACGAACGTCAATTTGGAAGAAATGAAATAATAATTTGGTACTTAATGGGTTAAAATACTGGGAACTCAGATTATTAGAGGGTTTAAAGCGCACCTATTACTAGTTGTGACGGTTGCAGGTTTTTGTCTGTTGGCGATCTTCTCGTTCGCCAGGGCAACTAGATTCTTCACAGCTTCTTCGACTAATCCTATGATGTGCGTCACGTTTTCAGTGTCCAACGCAGAAGACTGGTCGCCGTGTAGCAGCACATCGTCGCAGAGCTTTAACAATTGTGCTAGGGCCTGATACACTTGGTTCGTCGCTGATCCCAAAGTAGAACTTCAATGGAAATGGAATAACAATCATGGAAACTATCGCCCCAAACGTCGTTTAAAATTTCAATTCGATGTGATCGATAATTCAAGCTCAATTGTGTATCCTAAAATAATGCTTAATAAATAAATACCTCCTGAACAATCAGATTTAATTTATTATATAAATTAATTTAATTTATTAAATATTTCCAAGTGAGAAAACCATTGGTCGTGTATTTATTATTATTCGACTAAAATGTTACCTATTTGAAGTTATTAATAGGATGCAACGAGTACCAGGGTTGCATTCATCGAGACTCAGCTATAATTAACGAACAAGGCTGTGTGTCTAGACTTTCATCGCGAAACGTGGTCAAAGGTACGATAAAAAATATAAAAATTTAAATTTCTATCGGCGAATAAACTTCGATCCTAGACGCGTGCCTTATCATTCACTGCTTTCTACCCTACGCGAGGGGTGGACATAATAAACAAAAAATGGGGTTGACGCCGTAGTCCCCTATAGCGAAGAACGATGAATAAATTTCCTCTCTAAATACGTATATTATAAATATATAAATAAAAATAAATTTGTTCATTACGAATCTTCATATATTTATAAGGATATATTTTTATATTCGAATGTAAATAAAAATGACTATCAAATAAATTTAAATAATTTCACGTTATTAATACACTTGAAACTAATAAAATAAATATTAAAAGTATAAAATTATCATAATTAATAATTAAATGTTCAGAAAAAAAAATAAAAATAAATTTGAATATATAATTATAATTATTATTATAATAAATTTATAATCTTTAAGACTTACAATATTCCCGTGACTAATTCAGGGACCCAGACAGTTATTACATACTATAAAATAATTATAATATGTGCATATAAAATTTGATATTACAACTAAAAACATTTTCCGTGTTTGGTTTCACGGGACCATCGATAAACGTCGCGTGTCTCCTATAAACCTGTCGAAACGCATTTTTCACTGTCTGGTTTCGTCCTGGGAACGGCTTATAGACAGCCCGATGGGATCTGTAATAGATAGTCACCTGTTCTCCGAGAGTAGATAGGACTTCAGCACGGTGTGTATCGTGGTGACGGTGTCGAGGACGATGGTGCCATTTCCCGGCAGCATCTCGAGCTTCTTCTTCGACACGACGTCCCTGAAGTGGAGCAGTGCCAGCTGCACCTGTCGCACGTGGATGTGCAGGTCTCTGAGGGGATTCTTGTCGAGGGTGGTCGTGGTGTCGGTACAGCCGGGCGCGCTTTTATCGCGGGGTGTTCGCGGCGAGGAGGGCGAGGCTGCCCGTGTAGCCGCCCCGCTGCCCCCACCGCCGCTCCCGCTTCCAGGAGAACGCATGTGGGAGAGCTTCTCCAGGAAGTCCTCCTTGAAGGAGCGCGCACGACGTGCTAGTTTACCGCCGCGCGCCTTCCCGCCGGACCGCTCCTCGACTTCTGCAACGAGAAACCGCCATTGCTCAATACCGATTCAAGCGAAAAGAAAACACGCTGGTGTTCGGTTACATGCGACTAATAGAGACCAAAGGCTCGCGTATAACGAGAGTTAACCCTTTGACTGCCAAAGGCGTATATACATATACGCTTTCACAAGTCTATCAATATACGAAAGACGTAAATTTACGCCCTCTGCATCTTTTTTACTGTAACACCTTTTACTGTTTTACCAATTGATTCGATATGGAATTGGATAAAAATTGGATATTTTAATTTACTTGCATTTGTAGGATTTAACGAAGAGAATCTATTTGAGGAACAAATGTACAGATCATATAATTATAATAAACGAATTTGGAACACACAAATTAATAATTAGCCACACAAATTAAAATCACGTCCGTCTTTCACAATCACTCGTTTCTCACTCCCTGTTGTCTCGCTGTCCCTAGTAACCCGTTCTTTCTTCAACAAACCACTTTCAACCCCTTTGCACATAAATTAACATTGAACAAAACTACAGCGTGGCACAAATATTGAATACAAATCCCCTACACGTTTATTATTTTTTTAAACCGTAAGAATGGTCTCTTAAATCTCCGGGTACTTTTTTGGTCACCAGTCGCAGCGACAGGCATGTGACGATCGCGCCATCTATGTTTGCCAGTCAAAAGGTTAAGCAGGAACGAGAAATATGTATTTCTTAATCTTATACAGTTTCGTTTATTTATATTTGATCGGTCTTTCGACAGTTCAAAAGTCAGATTGAACGTAATTTAGGAAACACAGAAGATTAAGGCGCGTTAGAAATCACATCATCCAATGATTCGTGAAAAGAAGTACAATTTTCCTGGGGTCATTTTAACCTCCTGACGCACGATGTAATTTCAAATAATTCGTCAAACGTATTGTTGAATATTTATTTGCTAAATACGACAGAGTTTCGACCTAAGTGTGTATTTAATTAATGCAATTTTACAAAACGAAAATGCTGTTCTCCTCAGGTAGTACTGATCAAGGGAGGGGACTGTATCAATGGATACAAATTTTCATTAAAAATACATGCATGAAATGCTTATTCTCAACACGTATACTATTTAATTTTGTTTAAATTTGTTCGTACAAAAAATGGCTACGAAAAAGAATAGAATACCTCGTAAATGTAAAAATGTGTTGATTTTAGACTCGATGATCAGTGAGTGGCCTCATGACTGTGAAACTTGACATCAAAAACTTAAAACGAGTCAAACTCGTCATTGTAGAACATGGGGTTAAAGATTGTGTCCCCTATTTACATTCCTCGACTTCTGGAACGAGAAACCGCCATTGCTCGATATCGCTCGCTTTCTTGCGAAAAGAAAACAAGCTGGTGTTCGGTTACATACGACGAATAGAGACCTAAGGTTCCCATGCAGCAAGAGTTAAGCACGAATTCTCGTCTGGAGCTGATACAAATATAAATTTACTTGTATTTAATATACTTCTATAAACGAATTTAGTCCACCTTAATTTTATTTGTCGTTCAATACTATCCTCCAAAAATTAAATTCTACATAATTTAGAATACACAAAAAATTAAGGCGTATTTAAAAATCATATTACAACAATAAACTAAATCCTCCCCTTTGCAAGAAATACATATAACGTTAACGTCGATCGTTTGGTTCTCGTAATAAATTTTCTTTTCCGTCGCACGATCAAAGTTCGCCACCCACGCGGACTCCGTGTTCCAGCATTATTTCACTCGTTTCCAACTAATCGATCGTAACTTAAGACGACGATCCGGCGTGCCGGGTGGCTGCACCGGGTGCAATAAACGGCGTGCAACGTTCACGGTGCGACCGATAACGCGAAGAAATACGAAGTTCCGTTTGGTCATTGTTTCCCCAACGAGTTTTCTTCACGGTTCTCAGGAACGCGTTTCCGTCGCGTCGATGCACACGTGCAACGCACGGCCTGCCGCTGCATAACGCCAGGCGCCGATGCATTCACTTCGTTTCTTTTCGTTTTGTCGCGTTAATGCCAGACGCGCGTTTAAAATTAAAAGTCCAACAGCGCCGGTGCATCGGACGTGCGGTACGAGCCTATAACTTTTGTTTTATCGCCGTGACCGGTAGTAAATCGTTACGTTCGATTATATTTCGCCGGTTTATTGTTGAGTCCAGCGGCGCATTATTGCTGTCGTGACCTCCGCCGCGCGCGGCTTTCTCGGTAGTTTCTTGGAAACTCTATAAAGTTCTTTCGTTTCACTTTTTTCTCCAACAAATATTAACGTCCCCATCTTCGTTAGGATAACACAGATTTATAGACTTTTCATCGTAAAATACATTTAAAATAGTTCTAACGTGTTATTTTTCTTGCAAAAAAAAAATTACAATACACCTATCAAGTAGTTTCCAAGAGAACAAAGAAATGTGACCTCAATATGTACAAATTCTTGGAATTAAAAATAACGAATGTCAATTTATTTTCCAATCCCAAACCTTTATTTCCAGTTTAAAAAATTTTTAATTTACGAGAAGCGAGATTTTCAAAGTAGAATTGCAGTAAAAATTTTTGAATTGCACGCCGCATGGTTAAATTATGGTGTCTGGCGTTGTTCGTTCTGCAGAAAGTTACGAAAGTATTTGCCACGGGTTTTCATGGATCAATCAACGCACCTGGATCCGTGGAGATTAATTTTCAAAGCCCGTTACGAAAACCGTTTTATTTTAAAAAAACGGATGTGAAGTTTTTCTAGTATTTGTAAGTATTTTTTGTTCCACGTGTTGCAAACGATACGATTTCTCGCATGTTATTGTAGCTTCGGCCAATTAAACTGCGTTGATTCTGGATGCTACGCGATTCGTCCATTTTATCTCTCTTTACTGAGTCGTTAGCCCATGGGTGGAGCATATCATCGGCTTTGTCCCCCCTCCACTGCCCCCAGTATCGTGATTACACGAGTATCACGAAATCCCATTGGCTGAAACTTTAACAGTCTTTTGTGGGGAAATAAATCGTCCGCGAGATATGGTTCTTTCTGAACTTTTCATCCCCTTTGCTAACAGAATACGAAAGAATAATACAGAAAATTTTACTGCAATTTTTATGATCGATATTAAGTTTGTAATAGATTTTTAAAAACACATTCTCAAAGTCGAAGCAAAAAATCACAGGTTAGAGATATTATCAAAAATTATAATACAAGCGAAACAATTAATTTTGCTCTAGAAAGAAATGTAGAAAAGATTGTAACAATATTGTTGTTTCATTAACAATGTTTTTTTCCTATTAAATGAGGTATTCTTTTCAACGCGATGGATGACTGATTCGGTGCGAGTTGATTGGTGACTTTTACGAAAACAATGGCCGTCGTACGTTGCAAAAGAGTCGTCGATCAATGTTTAAATATGAAAATCCGTATCGCGTTGTAACGACGCTAATTATACGAAATTCCCATATCGCGCAACTTCGTTCGAGAATAACAACATTACCTTCGGAACGAATTACGCGCGCGGAATTATTCGCAAATAGAAGCGGAAACATTAATCAAAATCCGATATTCCAGACGTTTCGAGCCGATTATCCAACGGCCGATATTAACAGCAATCGACAATCGTTTCAGATCGATACGGTGGCCCGTAATAAACGACACAAACGACAAGTTAATGAGGGAATTTTATCGTAATACCGCGCGCGCCGCCTGACAAAAGAGGAAAATATATATTTACGGATACTGGGGCGGACGTGGTTTCCGCGAAACCCGTGTAAACATTAATTAACCGATTGTCAAGCTTGGCGAATTACACCCTGATCTCATCTCGAAAAATCGGATCTAATTATGAGACCTGTGTAGCAGATCCTGTACATATTACGATCACTACTCTTCAAAGTAAGTTTAAATTATAGATATTTATTTACAATTTAAATCTTCGTACGAATAATTTTAAGTATTTCTATGTTCTGAAATGTACCTATATTTAAATTAATTATTCTGTATTAATATTGTAATTTTTCGTCGGACAAACATTTGTTCTAGTTCCATTTATTTACCAGTTACTCCCACTCGTATTATTACGCAATTTTTTTTGTTATGAATTCTTTTTAATTTATTTTGGGGGCCAAATGTTGTTTATTACAGTGTGTTACTTGCATTTACAGAAGTAGTATTCTTTTTAATATAAACGATAGAAAAGTGTAATATAAACAGTATAGAATAATGTCAACAAAGCGCGGTCCACCCATCCTAGTACTGCCCGGCGTCCAATGCAGCTGCATTTCACTGATCACACGAGTGACGGTTGCTTCCAACCTGCTATGACCGCTTGCAAGTATTACTTTTAATTTATTCAAACATACCTTAAATATCATACCTTGCAATATGTAATTAATAAATAAACAAGTTTTTTTTATATCCATAATGAACCATTTAATGTACAAATACGAGTGGAATATTAAAATTCATAAGATTTCAAAGTACCAAATTTTTACAAAATCGCCCGAAGGTAAATTTATATAACATTGTACAATAAATTTCTATCTATACGTAAATGTATGGAACATAAGTTTCTGTGGAAATAAAACTATTTTTCTAGTTTTGTTCGAGTCCTGCATATTTCGAAATACCCTGTGAATCCGTCGAACGAAGTTACGAGGAACACGGGCGATTAATAACGCGACTAAAAATCGATTCTATCAAATTTTTCCCCGAAATTCTTTGTCAAGAGGCATCGCCGTACGAATTCGAGCCGACCGACGCGGCACTCGAGCCTCGACAGCCGCCGCGGTTCGACATTGAAATATTTTTCGCTTCTCCCTGCGCGCCGTGTTTCGACGTTGAAATATCCCCTCTGTTTCATAATGCTCGAATCGCAACGCTGGCCGAGCGACGTTAAACGCCAACGAGTCGTACACGGTATCGCGCAATTTTTCCCGTTGCGCGTGTGTACACATGTCGATTACAATAATGGATTTACGATCGTTATAATCCGGATGTACGGCTTTTCATCGGCTATGCA